ATAAAAAATTTATTTACAAAATTTTGAGATGGAAAAACTCGGTAGTGTTGCGTTGTTTATCCACCATTACGCCGTTGTATCAGTAAATAAATTTGATTGCGGAGTTGAGTGCATTAAAAATTTAGATTCCATTTTCGAGCAGGCAGCGCAGTGGCGGCTACGCCAATGCAGCATTTTTCACCCAGGGCGCGCAAATAGGTGTATATGGCGTTTATGCGCATGCAAATGGGGAGTCAGCAAAGTCTCGGCGGCGGCGGCGGCGAAAGAAAGGATATTATGCACCGGCAGCTTTTGTGTGCATTTACATAAAGGAACTCGTGTAAAGTTGGCGCGCGGCGATAATCACGATGTATGGCGGCAGATATAAATTTGACAGCCTGAGAAACGAGGCCAACTGCACGAAAAAGAGCAGCTCGCCGTTTTGAATGAAATGTGTGTCGCCCGCCCGCCCGGCCTGTTCAGCTCGCGAGTTATTGGGAAGGCGTCTGAAAGCCAATTTAGCCGCTAAAGTACTTGGCGATGTATAGTCAATTTTTGTCCTATTACAGCAGACTCCGTCGCTTCTGCGCGCTAACCGAGATTTATCAGCAAAGCGTAGTTCGGCCCATGAGACACTCAATTTGATACTTGGGTTCAAATAAAAATACAAGACAACACAAACTATAATTCTAAGCTTCTTTACCCATAAAAATATTTATTATAAGTAATAATTTTATTTCCATTAAAAATCATTATGCAATTCTAAAATTAATGATTTTAGAAAGTAAATAATTAAAATTGTAAACTTAAATAAATTTCACTAATCATTGGATCGTAATGTATAATTAAAACACGCAAAAACACGTACAATTTTTCAATGTTCCATACAAAAATTACAAAAATAGCATAAATTATTCTCTCTACTCCTTACTTTTTGTAACAACAAACAGTTATATTTTAACAGTAAACGTTGAGGTATATTTTATTTTTTGGCAACACAATCATTAAATTAAAGATTTCAATGTAGCACTCAAGAAAGTATCTAAGATTTGTATAAATGTGTTTTTAAAAGCGGAATATAAATTAGAATAAGTTGGATCTTTGTAAAAATTATTATTGTTATCTTTGTTCACATAATTACAATCACATTGCTTCTTTTCATTTACTGGATAGTAATTTGTTTTAAAGCAAGTAAATATATGTATAATTTCAATATATTTTTGTTAGCGATAAATTTTCAGTCTAGATTTAAAAAAAAAAATCAAATAATTGTGACTTAATTTCTGTAATTATTCTTCTCCTTGAAATCCACTAAATAAATTATCAATTTGCTTCCTTCTACTTAATTAATCTGAAGGAAAATTAGCATATATGAACTATATAGGAAGTTAAAAAATTACCCTTTGAGCAAATTCCTGCCTTTGCATTGCGCTTCGCTACTCGCAATAATGACAAGTTTTTGCTCACTGAGCGCAGAATAACTAACACACATATGCACACAATTCCAGCACGCTGCATTTCAATTGCAGAGATGATTAATACATATGAAAAGAGCTGCATGCATGTGCAATATGAATGAATTAACAACGTCGCTCGCTCGTCAATTTGCATTTTGCGGCAAGCCTTGTTCCTTCTTTTGGATCGATCAAAGCGGAGTCTCCGAAGAAAGATCGAGAGACGTACAATGAAGAGCAATTACGTCGCTCCACCAATCTCTCTTCATGCAGCACCTGCTGCTGCTGCTGCTGTTCTTCACTGCCTCACGCGCAGTAATGGATTTAGCCGAGGAGGTTTCTTTTGTAATTGACTTCTTCTTCTCCTCTCCTCTCGCGCGCGCGACGATTGAGGCACGAACTTCCATTTAAGTTTGAGGCACAAAGGAAGTAAAAAGTAGCTCCGCTAACTTGTTTATTACAATCAAGGTGCGGAGTGAGTAAGTAGCACTCAGCAGCTCCCTGTTCTATCATACTCTCATCTCCTCAACTTCTGAATAATGAAATTAAGCCGCCGATTCCAATTTCGCAAAGCTATCTCTCGCACTCGATTATCGAAAAAGGGCCAAAACTTTTTGGCGCAAACTTTGATGAGAACTCGCTCTTTAATAGCCCTGATTTTTAGGTGAGACGAGGTCAAAGTTTGTTGTTTGTTAATAGGAGTTGTGAAGTGCTGCATCCACTCTCCAAATGCAACAGACGCCTGCAATTTATGCAACTCGCCACGCTTTCGAGTAGGGCAGGCTGCATAAGAGCTCAGAGTTTTTGTTGAAAATGTTTGGATTTGTATTATTCTCAATTCATACAATTGAAGCAGATTGTAGGGTAAAAATAAAATAAAGCAGGGAAAAGTATACATAAAAAAAAATGGAAGCATATACTCCTCGGTAAAAAAACTTGGAAAATAATTATTTGTGTTTTTTGTAATTATTTGTTTCAAGAATACTGTAAACAAAAATGTAACCCACTTTTTTGATTAAAATTATGTATTCTTTTTAAGGCTTCCAATTCTTGCGAATATTTTAATTTTTAAACTGGTTACTTAATAACCTTAATTTATTATTTTAATCATATTTCCAGTTAAAATCGTCTTAAAAGTTTTGGAACATTTAGCAATTAAAAGTTGGAGCTACTCTTTTAAGCCTATACAGATTTGAAAGGTATATCTATCTTTTACGGAAAAAAGTGTCATCTCTTCACTCTTGCGCTTGCGTTCCTGGATGGAAAAGACAATTCGAGGATGAATTCCTCAATATTATGCGACCCTGCGAGTATATAATAACAATACGCGAAAAGACAGATAGACGAACACCCCGAGCGTAGTTTGGGATTTTTCGTTTTGTCTTTTGTTTTAACATTAAACTGCAGAGCGCTGCTGCTTTTTGACAAAACGCCTGCAGCTGAGAGAGGGAATAATAATGGTCTGTGTGGGAATGAAAGAGCGACGGGTTAATCAGGGCGTGCGCCATTCGTTACATCGACCGCACGCATTTTCCATGCAAGTTTGCAATAATTAGCCGTTTGAGGTCATATGCAGATTTGTGCAAAGCGCTTATTAGAGCGTGAATCTGAAATCAATACGACATATGAGCTTGAATAATACAAAAGTTATATAATGACCTCTGCTTTTCCATTTCATTTATGTCCGGTTGATAGAACCTCAGGATTAAAAATACAATTGTTCAATCGACCGCTGAATAACACAGGGACAGTGGCATACCTTACAAAATAATAAAAGAGAACCTTATTAAAAGTAAAATTAGAATTTTTTTCCAAAAACAAGCAGACATTTTATTTTTTAAATAAGAAAGGTTTTCAAGTATTGGAAATATTATCAATCAAGCCATATTGAGCTTATGATTTTATGTAGAGAGAAAATAATTCGCTTTTTATATATTTGTAGGTTGACCTATAGATTATTTGGCAGCAATACTTTTCTTTTTTATCTAGTTGCAATTGACACTATTGAACAAAATAAATAAAAATTATTTTGATCCAATTTTAATTAACAGCAACACAAATTAAATCAACACAAAGTTGCATTGAACAAAGCTTTTGTCTTTTAGAAGCGCTTCCTATTAGAGCTCTTGCAGAGTGCTGAAAGTTTCCACCGGAGTTTATTGGTCGCGGCTTCTATTGTGCATGCATTGCTTTAACTTGAATATAGGACAGGGGGAAATTAATTAAAGCGTATTGTGCGCCTTTTGTCGCTAAATTCCCCATCATTAATTAGCGCGCGCATATCCCCTGGGCAATCAAATTAATCTTGCCAATGCACAGATTGCGAAAATTTAACTTAAAAATGAAATAAAAATTTTCTGCCTGCCAATGAATTTGTCTGCACGTGGCAGCATAAATAACTAGCAGCGCGTCCCCCGCTGCAGCATCGCCCTGCGAGAGGAGAAGCCGTAAACTTGCAACGGAGCCAAGAGTGTATGACTTTGTTCGCCATAACAAGATGCGTTTTTTAGTGTCAGCGCTTATGATAATGGCATCGGAGCGAGCGAGAGGGTCGATGAGGGACTTTCTTTCTGTTGTGTGCAGAAATCGATTCAACTCCAGCACTGTACTCGGGGCCTCTCTCGCTCTCCCTAATGCAGCCTAATGCATTCAATAAAGACGGACGCCCCGAATGTGCTCCGCTCCAGCAGTGTCACAAGCACAATATGCGCCCAGTCGACGTACGCGAAGCCATTTATTAATGTTTTCGCCCTTAACCTCTCTGCTGGCTCCAGACCGGCCGCTCTTCCCGCTCAAAATGGATTTCCTTTAAACGTGCCTCCCTGCCTGTCCGCCTCTTTTTGTTGCGTCTATTAACTCTGCAGGCCGCACCACACGTGCACACCCAAAATGAATGTTCCCACTTTGGAAAAGATAAATTATAATCTTTGGGTTGCTTGTTTTGAAATGAAAGTACCTGAAAATGGAATTACTTTGAATTATGGAAAAGTTAAAAATATGGTTTAATCTCAATGTTTTTCTTTATTTTATTTTTCAATTTCCAAAATAATGATACAGAAATTAAAAAAATTTGAAATAAAAAATATTACTATTACTTGATTTGTTTTTGATTTTCCTTTCCGCGTGAAACATCAGTTGAGTATTCCCTTTTTTAAAAAACACTGTAAGTAAAATCAGTCCATTAGAACTTTTCACTGAACACGTGAAATAATCCTTAAGCGTTTCGGTTATGAACTCCCACTGGTATTAAGTACGGCTTAAGTGTAAATATAAATAATCAATCCATTGAAAAGACGTGAATAAATATACTGGGGAAAAAAATAATTGAACTTTTCCCGGCTTCCAAGAATTGTAATTCTTGAAATAAATTAAAAATTGTCACCGTCTCGAATCAAAATGAGACGAAGTTTGTAGAGAGGGCACACTATTGACTTGGGGCGTCGGCACTGGGCCTGTATTATTCCAGTCATGACTCTCGTCTACTTTTCTGCATATAACTAGATAACACAATGGACACTTGTAGCGACAGCAGTGAATAAGTTGGCCCCGGGTCTTGTTTTGTTACAGATTCTGATCACGCCAGCAGCAGGTACCGAGCGAGGAGACACATCAGCGGCCATATTGAGGCGGCATCTGCAGCCCGGCCGGCTTCCGTCGCGTCCCTATGACTGACTCCCTCATTTGCCAGGTTTGTACAAGACCCTCTGCTTTTCATTATTTCCAGCCCGTCCTTGGGGTGCCAAATTCGGTCATGCATTTTTTCTCCCTCCTTTTTTTCTCTCGCTCGTCGGAGGGGATTTGAACCCGGCGGATTTTCTCTCTGTGTATTTTTCATTAAATTATTCATCTCCTGTCTGAAATGAAACCTCTCCTGGAGATTAGACTTTTGCCGAGTTTTATTGCGTTTCTTAACTAACTGCGTAAGTCGCGCTATGAGAAAAAGAAAAAGACTGAAGAAAATGTAAATCCGTCCGCGGTTCGTTAAATTGTTGCTTTTCTAACGCTGGGGAAAACTTGCAAATCCAATTATGGCGGGTTAATTTTCGCTCTTTGCTTTTTCGTCCCTTGGCTTGCGAAAGCAAATTGCGCGAGGCACAGATGGATTGAGTCGGGCACGTGTAGAATAAATCACAAGTGATTTGAGTGCGAGCCACGTATGTTTGAATAATTGGTTTCAGCAATCCGCGCGATTTCAATTCAGCGCGCTCGGCTGAATTGAGATGGGATATATATCCATTTTACTCTTTTTTTTTATTCTTTCCCTGCGCTGCTCACCCGCACAGAATTGTGTGTACATACACGCGAGAGTATAGGGAGAGAGTTTTCAAAGGACTGCTCGGGATTTGTGTGACCCAGAATGAAGATTTACAGGACGAGAGCGGAAAGTGAGCCGCGCGTCCCTTTTTAATTCTCTGCCAGAGAACCGAAATCGCTGCTTTTGCATTCAAAAGAAACCGTTCTAAATAACATGCAAAATCGTTTCCAGCACCTACTTTTTTAATGGAGCCTTAAATTGCCACTATGGAAATGAAGAAAAACGCGTGAACATTAATCTTCATTTATTGTAAAAGTTGAATTAAAAATTTAAATACAGAATTTAGTGCAAATATTCATTACCTTTACTTAAGGGATTGTTGATATTTGATTAAATTAAGGCGAGTAAAATATTATGTCAGGAATTTCTCCAAATTGAAGACTTTTACCTCTTTTACCTAATTTAAATATATCACAAGCAAATGACTAATTGAATATCTTAGCATGTTCCAATCAGTGTGGTTTAAATGAGTCTCTCTGAGAACTGAATCTGTCGATTTACCGGTCGGAGAAGACAAGCTATTATATATTTCTCCAACCTGGCGTCTCCGAAATCATCAAACCACCCACGCTCTCTGCAATTTATATGATCCGCTCTCGCGAATTCCCGTCGAGCTATTTAGATTTGAATAATAAACCCGGCGCTCTCGCAAAGATACGCTCTGCACTAACTGCGCTGATCTTGAAGTGCCATTGAAGCTGACATCAAAGACGATAAGACTCGTCTCTCTCCACATTACTCCAAAAGTGTATTTATTACACCCTCGCCGCGACGCGCATTATCTCCGGGGCCAGAGGGGTGCGTCGATTACGCCCGCGATTAATCGCGCGCCGACGAGCCGAGTGCATTTCACCTGTGGCAATTAAGGCGCATCCTTTGTGCGTTGCCGTTCCGATTTAGCGCCGCGCGCTGTCACGCGTTGCTGACATTTGATGGAATTAATTTCCTTCGTCCTCGCGCGCAGTTATCTCCGCGAAGAGAGAGGCGAATAATCCCATTCATGCTAATAAGCTTAATTTACTAGCTCACATTCATCAAAGTTAATTTCAGGACCATTTTGTATCATTCCAAAATTTATATCTAATTTTTATCGTACGAGAGCTGAAGTTGTAATTTGAATTAAAAATCGGCTTTTCTCCTCAATGGGTTTTGTGAATAGTTTAAGAAAAACAATATCATGCCATGCTCTAAATATTTCGGCGGAAATGCAGCCATAATTCATGAGCTGTGAAATAATTTTGACATGAATTATAACAAAAATCATTCTTTTAAATAATTTTTTTTACAGATTATTAACAATTTTTTCATGAAAATTATTTTATTTTACATTTTTACGGTAAAACAATATTTAATTTCTTAAGCAATAAACAACTCACAAAACCCATCGAGAAAAAACCGATTTTAAATTCAAGTCACTAATACTGAGATTCTACCTCAAAACAAAAAATAGTAATTTGTAACTCCAATTTAATGCTATTGAGGGGTTAATAATATTAGATGAAAAAGAAAACAATTTTTCACACGGAATTCTATTAAATTCTTTGCGACAATTATTTATTTTTTCCCCGATATTTTTTATTGATTTTTATTGCATGATAGACTTCTTTAAACAAAGAAATTTGTACAGCTCAATTTTCTTCACGTTCCTTTCAAATAAAATCCCACTTTTCTGCCTTGGTTTTTTTCCCATCAAATGAATTTAAAGATAAGTAGAATAATATTATTATTATATTGCCAAAAAAATAAAATGATTTCAAAATTATTTAATATTTTTATAGCTTAAATGCTTAAAAAAAATTACTACCATTTCTGCACACCTAATTTGACCCACTGCTCATCAACCCTTCGTCTCAGCTGCAACTTAATGTCCACGTCGCTCTGTGCTAATATCAATTAGCCGAATCCAGCTTGGCGAAAGCCGCTGATTCGCCGTCAAATTTAATTACCGCTCGTGCGCTGAAACCAAAATTACCTACTTTGGCCGACGACGTGCGTCTCGGTCTTGAATTTGCAAGCAGCCGGGCTGAAACGGTAGCGAGATGGTATCGCATCAAAGCGCCGTGATTGCTTGTGTGCGAATTGGATGCTCAGCACACGCTTGGCGCAAATCTGTGTGCCTACGAATTTTGTGCTCCACAAGAGCACGTGGGCTCCAGTAAGTTTGTATAGTGTGTGCGTGTTTGCAACTCTGATTGACTCTCAGTTCTGTAAGCTTAAAGCAGGTCGCTAATTAGGACCTTCTTTGCCCGTCCATGTTCTATTTACGTATGAGAGCTCTCTGAGTTAGTGTTCCACGAATCTAAATGAATAACATGCAATCTATTTGCTTTGCAATGAAATTCAATGCATGTTCTATATAGATTAATTTGATATGCATCTAAGTTTTTATAAACAATGTCCATGAATAATTACGGGCAAATTAGTTATTCAATGTATCAATATTGATAAATAAATAATCATGAGGCAATTATCACCGCCAGAAAACATAGCATTCGTAATTCATTTAAAATTATTGAAACTAATTTGTGTTACAACAAAAGGAAAGAGTGAAAATTTCAAAGACTAAATGAGTAAAACAATTATAGAATAATATGTTTAGCAGGAAAATAGATCTAATGAGACACTTGCACTAAAAAGTTGTCCATTGCACTTTTTTCAATACTTAAAATATGAACTTCTTAGATATTCCGTATTGAAAGACGTGAAGAAAACGGTCTTTTGTTTTGTTAGTCGCTGAATTCCAACTAACTAATTCAAATTGCCTTATTCCAATTATTTAATTTTATCAATATTGATTTTGGATTTTTTTATTACCAATATAATATTTATTTATGCAACAATGTTGCTATTGTACTTGTTAGTATTTACAAAGACAAGTTTAGTGCAAATGTCAGTGCAAAATCAATAAAACAGCGTGTACGCGACACATGTTTGCTTCTCCGCCAGACAAACAAGCTTAGGCATAGATAATCCGTGCAGCAAGCGCACGTCTGAAGCACTTGCAGTGCTGATGGATTCGAGCAAATTGTTTCTGGCTCTGCAGCGGACTTGCTGCTGGAAAATCCCTGTGCATTATTTTTAATCCAATTATTCGCTCGGCTGATGAATAAAAAAATCCGATATGTCAAAGGCACTATCCACTCTCGACTTGATAAAAGATAGTGGAATTAGCAGCCGAGTATGCAACCGTCTTTACTAAGCTGCTGTGGGATTTGCCTAACTTGTAGGTTTGCAGTAAAAAGTTCCGAAGACGGTGAAGGAGAACATAAGGAACAAGATTGAAGTTTAACTAGTCCCATTTACTTTCTCAGTAATTTATAATTTAACCAACAATTTTTCTCTTCAGTTTAACTTTCAATTTCAAAAAATTTACAAATAATGGCAGCAACGATTATCTTACTTGGATAAAAAAAATTAGCGACATTGAATTGAAAATTAAAATTGGTGTCGAAATGCCACAAATTTTAAATCACAAACATTTATTTCAATTTATTGGGACTAGACCTCTGTTATAAATCAATCTATTTCCTTTTGATAGGGAAAAACAATCTTCTCCTGTTGATAGTGATTTGATTTGAGAAAGTAGAGGAGCAGCCGGACGTTTGCAGCACCAGCAGACAAACATGACGTCCGTGCATCGGAACAAAATTATGTTTGTCCAAGACGATATGTATTCGACGAGTTTTATTTCTCAGCAGAGCACCTCTGGCGAGTGTTTGTGCTGCCGACCGACCGACGAGAGAAGAGCAATCTTCCGAAAAACTTTTTTAAATTGATTTTGTCAGAGGGAGCAATCACATTTCATCTCGACGCGCGCAGAACGAAAACAGAGATTGCCAATTTCCAGCCGCGCCGGATGAAAAATAAAATAAAAAAGAGAGAGAAAAGGAGCATACCGTGCATGCAGTGGCGGAAAAGCAGAGAACTCGCCGCAAGCAGGTGGATGCTTCTGAAAACTTAACTAGTGTGTGTAGAAAACGGCCGAGCCGCACATATTATGGCAACTGCATTGATGTCCGACAGTGTGATATTCCCTCTCTATGAAACTTGCAATCTGCTCCCTACTCGAGAGATATAAATCAAGACAGGCGCACACCAACCCCTTTGAATGGAAAGTTTAATTTGAGTATTTATCACTTTATTTCCAATAAATAATCAAATTAAATTATTTAAGATTCAAAAGCTTGGGCTTTAAAATTTAATTTTCTTATTCATAATTCCGAATTGTTTAATTAATTATGTATTTTATTGCATTGTATAGAAAATAGAAAACACTCCTTAAATCTGCCTGATTCAAGTTATGTAATTATCATTTTTATATTTCCTCTATGAAAAGGGTATTATTTGAGGAAATTGTAATTCTTAGCATGAAT